TAAATGTATTCCGTCACAATACTAAGCCTATATATATATATATATATACTCTACCGCGATAAGTGAATTTCCGCGAAGTAGGATTCTTTATTTATAAATCGAGTATTTTCGTAGTCAGAGCATAGAAAACCTGTTTACGACATTCTAAATACGGTTTTAAACATTATTAGAGCCCTCTAGACATAAAATAACACCCTTTAATCACCATTACTGTTATGATTGCTGGACACGGAAGCAGGAGCGGGGAGACGAGGAATCAGGATCGAAGGGTTTATTTGGAATCACTCCAAATGCAGGACACAGGAACATGAAACATCAAAACGTCAATGACAGACCTAGGGCTACAGACTCTAACAAGGGCTTAAATACACCGGACGAATCAAACTGACAGAAAACAACCGGGTTTGCATTTATATTAGATGAGGCTAAGAATTAAGAAATTTCAATAGGCGCAAGTAGTTTTTCCTCACAAAATAGTATGCTATCTACTGTGTCAGCATTTACACATCAAATTATGACATATCTTAGTAGCCCAGAATGTCCTGAAAACAAAACCATAAAGCATATGCGGCTAACTCATGTACATACCATGTAATAAGGCTAAAATCAAAGGGATAGAGAAACGCTCAAAAACGGATAGGGTTGAAAGGGTTAATGATGCTGCAATGTATTACAACACACCCATGTAAAGCACCTTGGGGTGACTCTGAAAGACACTTTATAAAAATAAAGTGAATTATTTCTGTGCCAATTCCACTTGCATCACATTGTAACTAGTCCCTAGAACCAGCAACCTTCAGACAATAGACACAGCAGCCTAACCTGCTGACCTAAACACCAACTCAGTGATGGGCCTCTCGTTCATGGTACCCTGGCACTGGTAAAGGCTTTTTCGATTCTGCCACATAATTTATGGAACAATGGTCTCTGCCATTCATCTTAGCGATTTCAAGCATTGTTTTGCCATCACTTAATTTATTAACGAGTACGGTCGTCTCTGCATTTATATCGATCTTTTGTGCCAGCTTTGTTAGCATTTGCGCAACTTAATAAGTTAATAGCATGATGCAGCACAATTATGGCAAAAAATGTAAAGCTGTAATTAATGAATTTTCATAGATGATGCTGATAACTGTCAGGACATGCGACTACTCCGTTCATGGCCTACAGTTTGGTCCTCACCCTGACAAGCGTGACCTAGTACTCACTATCTGCTTCTTCATATCACACACTTCCTAAGGACCCAGGAAGTAGCGTTCAGCTAGCGGTCTGTCACCTCCTGGTGTCACGCTCACGGCTGGGCAGAACAGTTCCACACACAACTGTATCATCATTGAATTCTTCTTGTTTGCCTACCGCATGCTGCTCTCCATGAGACACACACAGCTGAGAACAAGCATGGGAATGATGGTAAAGGGCAGCCACCTATGGCACCTGAGGAACTGGGGGTTAAGGGCCCTGCTCAAGGGCCCACGGACATGTGACCGGCGATCTTCCAATCACAGGCACAGTGGCTTAGTCCACTGAGCCACACAATATCCCCTGAGAAGGGAAGACATTATGAAATATCTCCTACAAACCCTTTTGCATTATAGTGCATCACATAGAGAGTAGGATCAACACCAGATTGGGTATATAGTTCGGTGGGGGAGGGATAATGGAATGGGGATGTTTTTCAGGGGTTGGGCCCCTTAGTTCTATTGAAGGGAACTCTTAATGCTTCAGCATACCGAGACATTTTGAATAATTCTATGCTTCTAACTTTATGGGAACCCTGACCTCAACCTCATCAAACACCTTTGGGATGAACTACAACAGAGATTGTGAGCCAGGCCTTCATGTCCAACATCAGTGCCTGATCTCACAAATGCTCTTCTGGACGAATGGTCAAAAATTCCCGCAGACACACTCCAAAATCTTGTGGAAAGCCTTCCCAGAAGAGGGGGGACCAGCTCCATATTGATGCCTCTGGATTTAGAATGGGATGTCATAAACGGCCAGGTGTCCCAATACCTTTGTCTATACAGTGTACTTTATATAATAATGGAATTAGTACATTAAATGCATTTAATTTGTCTGTCTAACCGCTATAGTACACTTTGGATGTCTTGGTTTTTGTTCATGTCTCAGAAATTTGCTGTGTGTTTCACAAAGTTTTATTTTGTACCATTTCTCCAGACCTCCAACTGCTCAGAGCTGCCTCTCCAGCTGGAAAAATACTACTTACCCACCATGTACGGGGTGGAGTTCATTCTGGGATTCCTGGGAAACCTGACCGTCATCCTGGGTTATCTGCTTTGGATGAGGAGATGGAGGAGCATTAATGTGTATCTCTTTAACCTGGCTGTGTCTGACCTGGTCTTTCTGTGCACATTACCATACCTTTCATATACATATGCATGGAAGCAAGGGAACACCCTACCAAACATCTGCCTCATCAATCGGTTCATCCTGCACATCAACCTGTACTCAAGCATCCTTTTCATGGTCTGGGTCAGCCTGGACCGGTACCTGCTGCTCCAGAATCCCCTCCGCCAGCATATCCTGCTGAAATTTAAAACAGCTGTTTGGATCTCTGCCATCTCCTGGCTCCTTGTCACAATACAGGTTACCCCACTGATGATCTTCATATTAGCTGACCTAAAGCTGAACAACTGGACCCAATGCAGTGATTTCGGCAGCTTGTCTGGGCATGAAATGACAGAGCACCTAGCCTACAGTTTGGTCCTGACCCTGACAGGCTTCATCATACCTCTGCTCGCTATCTGCTTCTTCACTCTTGGTATCACACGCCTCTTAAAGACCCAGGAAGGAGTGTTCAGCCAGCGGTCCGTCAGTTTTCATCGTCCTCGCTGCGTCGCGCTCATGGCTTTTATCATGTTCCTCGTGCTGTACTCGCCCTACCACCTGATGCGAAATGTATACATCATTTCACAGCTGACTGGGCTGGACAGTTCCACGCACAGCCGTATAAAGAGCCTGTATATCCTCAGCCGGCCTGTGGCTTTCGCCCACAGTGTCATTAACCCAGTGTTTTATTTCCTCATGGGGGACCAATTTAAGGAGCTGCTGCTGAATGGGATTCGAAGTCTGTTCGCAACCCACTGCAGGCTGTAGTGTTTTGAATCTTAAAGAAACACATTGATAATGTGAGAAATGGAAAGTATCTTCTAGGTTTGTTTATCAGAATAGCATATGCCGCCAATTGTAACCTAAAGGTTAAATACCGCATTTTGCAATATTTGCTACTTAATGTGTAAGCTTATTCCTCCAAAACCAGCCACTAGGGGGTGCTTAAGATTTTCTTCCGCTAGGAATTTTTGGCATATGGAGCTCTTAGCTTTCTTTGACAGAAACATCTCACATAGTCGTAAGAAGGTTATTGCAGCTTTAAAGTCAAGGATAGCAACTCTGTTTCATCCTTTGAGAAATGTGCTTATGTGTATTGCTTCTATGAATATCCATCTGTATTGAGCATAGCGATAGTATTTTGAGCATTTTAAATTGCTCTGCCAAAAGAATATATATATACACATATATATAACCATATAACCATAATGCTATGAGTCCTAGTTGTGATAAATAACTGAAACTATGTCTATTCATTTATTGCACGTTACACTTACATGCAAGTTTGCAGAATTTTTCCCTGCCAATCAGGTGGTTACCTGTATTTCTTTGTGTATGCCTTCATATCCATGTCTCAAAATGTTCATTTTTTTATACGTCTAAATATTTTTATTCTATTTATTTGTCATTCACGCCATGATCCACATTTGCTGTGACATAACAGTAAGAACTGTAAGAAATACAGCACTGTTATAAACAAAGCCACACATGGTTTGTTTTTTTTCCCCCACTTGCACAATGTATTAAATCATGGGCCAACCATAGTAATCCTCTTCCGAAGCTCCTGACTGAGCTCAAAATGTGCTCGCCAAACCATGTGTCATCTCTAAAACAATGCACACTAGGTGCAATGATAACACACGATAGGTTGTACCTTGCATTCGTCTTTTCAAAACCGTGCAGGCTGAGAGAGTACATTGTTTTGGTGAAATGCCGACTTGTTACTATGAACATATTGACTACTGTTTACAGCGACTCTGTAAACTATATGCAAAGAATGTTTATGTCCTGAAAAGAACATAAACAAGACCTACTATTTGTGATTTTCCCGTAAGTTTGGTATAGGAACACCAGTGTTTTTTTTCAGGGGAATCTGAGAAGGTGACCTGGGACCTTCTGGGTGATTTGATACGGAATTACCCATCAGTGTTTAAGTAAGGTGTCTTCTAGAAATTGGCAGTAGGTCTTGGAGTTAACTTTGACACAATCTGCAAGTTGGAATGGTTATACAAGTTCATCACTAATAACTGCCACTCACACCATCACTCGCCCAGCACTTTGTTGGTGACTGATTCAGAATTATTATCTCTATTACTAATCCTTCCACAGGCACATCCATTTGGTCCATCGAGAATCACTCTCATCTGTCCATAAAACATTGGTAAAATCAGTTTTCAGATGTGTGCCTCTCTATCCTTGTCGTTTTAGCTTGTGTGCCTTATTGAGTGGAGGTCGTGCTTGAACTTTTCGGACCTTAGCAATGTCACATTGCACATTGCAGCCGACTACTTCTGGACATTGTTTCGATGGTAGTTTTGAAAAAAATACGGCACTTGATGCTAAAGGGTTACTGGAAGTCTCCCATTTAATTTGACACAAATCTTTTTCAATTTGCATCTTCCACCCTCTTTGACTGTTGGCCACAAAACACTGGATTGTATGGTGATGACATTTTAAAAGTTTGGTCATTTCGATTGATTTGCATCCTTTCGCTCTCGGTAAGGTCAATTTTTTGGCCCATTTTAACAGTAATAACATTTTGCTTAATAATTTTGCAATGGGAAGTATCCATAGTTTCCTATCGTACTCCAAACAGGAAGAACTCAGATCAGACACTGCGCATTTTGTTTTCGAACAGTCCATTCGTAATTGGAGAATATTCAGGACTCAAAATACGGGTCTGAAGAGAAGATACAAGTAAGATACACACCTGCCTAATGATTCTGCACGCGTTTCATGTTTCGGGAAAATATGCACAATATTCTTAAGCATTCCTGTATGTAGGGTTGCTAACTCACACATCCAGCGAGACACGATGTCAGACTTTCACGCTCACGCAAGAAATCTTACGGCAAATCTTTATTATTCCATTATAAACCTAAAATTAGCTACATCAAACGCGTTGGGGTAGTTTGCAAACCCTACAGAATAATTACAAGGTAATGCGCACGTAAAGTTGGCAGCCCTGTATATTTACAACAGGCTGGCTCGAGACATCTATAAGTAACTAAGCGACTCCACCTTAACTGACAATTATCATTAAACTCACAAATATTTGAAGTATTACTGAAAGCACGGTTCGTTTGTTTTTAGTTTTTTAGCTGACACACGTCTACCTCGGCAGAAGCACCACGTCTTGACGTGACTAGCTGTGTACCTTTAAGAGGAGATGTGTTTGCCCTCTCCGGCGCATTCTGCCCATCGTGTAACGTAATCGCTGATTGGAGGAGTTTGACCCCGTCATGCGACATCCCCGTCTCTGATTGGTGGGCACTGATGTTCCTGCAGCTTTGCCTCTCGCGGGGTTGTTGTGTGAAGATGGCGGCCGAACTAGTGGAGGCGATGGCAAGTTGAGCTCCGCTCGCGGGGCGCACGGGAGCGGGGTTGAGGGACCACAGAGTGCTATCGGCGGGCGTTGCAGCTAATAAGCTGAGAGCATACCTTGTCATGTTCAAGTCTCTTATTTCTAGAAGTTTCAGGAAGCATACACTTTGTGTTGTCAACTGTGTGCCGCTAGCTAGTTGGAAGCTAGCTAACTACAAAATGAGTGATGAGACCATAAATAGAGACATCCTGTAGTAGCGATTCTGCTGAAATTGCCCTGTTTAGCAGTATGACCTTTTAAGGTCCCAGTTGTGTTTATTGAATATAAGCTAGACATGTCGTATCTTTGTATTGTCCTGATTGATTGCCAGTGGTCCGCTGGAAAAGCCGGTTCTCGGTGTACTGTTGCCTGTCTGTCTGGACAGTTGGTTATGACAACAGTAACTGAAGTGCATGTTTTGTGCGTTAAGAATTATTAAGACCATTAGCAAGAAAGTATATTTCCCTGGTGTTATTAGCTGCTTGGTTAATCATATCTCCATCTTGATAATGATTTACTACATGATTGGATCTAACTTGTTCAATAAGCACCTTGCAATTGACTCTTGCATTGTGTTACTTTTCCACAAGTGATCAGTGATCATCTCTCTTTTTTTGTTGTTGCCCTTTTCTTCTGTCATTAGACAAGCATAAATAATGTTATGTAGCCAGAAAACTCACTTCTCTTGATTTTGGGTGTTTTAATGGCCATCGGCAATTGAATGTGGAACATTGCTTGAGTCACGTTTATGTGTTTTACACAGAATGAATCCTGTAACCAGTTCCAAGCCCTTTGGTAAATTTGGTCTCTTTCTTTCCAATGGGCCTGTGTTCCCTGCCTCTGGCCTGTAGAAGATGGTGAAGAGTTTTCGGGTGTCGGACCTACAGACCCTCCTGACCTCTATGGGCCGCAGTAAAAGTGGGCTGAAGCAGGACCTAGTGGGGCGTGCTCTGCGGCTAGTGCAAACCGAATACAGCCCGGAGCTGCTGAAGAACATTCGTCAACTGTATGAATCACGCTTCCCCAAGGCGCCGGGTTGGGCAACGCAGCGACGCCCTGAGCTGGGGGTGGGGCCAGGGCTGGCCAACTCCACGACAGCCTACTCCACCCATGGCTCTCCGTCTGCCTCCAATGTGCACAGTGCTGACTACCTCAATGGTTTGCCTAAGCCATCACCCAGCCCAGCTTCTGAGGTCAAGCTGTGCCCTCTGCCCTTCTATAAAACCCTGGAAACGTTGATGTCCCCCACAGAGCTGGGTAAGACTTCATTGACATTTTCTGAATGTGGTTCATCACAGACCAGGTACAATAGAAAACCTGCTAGATACTGGCACTTCAGGATCAGGGTTGCCTACCCCTAGTCTAAACACTGTCTTTGTCCCAGTGTCTGTATTTAATAGATCATTAGAAGTACATGTGCCCTGCATTTATGCATGAGATCATAGTTATTTTTGCTTAAATTTTTCTTTGAGTGTCCCCAGTCCCTGCACTGCATTAAATGTTTGATCAAACGGCAAAAATCTTCTCCCCTGTGCTGGATCTCAGACTCATTTTGTTTTATTTCATTTCTTCTCTCTCCAACTTCCCTACAGTCATACAGAACAGTGATAAGCTGCAGGATAGTTCGTGCTCCTTTGAGCTGACACAGAGTCAAGTGGACCAGATAAGGAACTGCAGGTGATTGCCTGGACTCGTTATTTTTTTGTAGAATGCTCCGTCCTAAGAAAGAGCCACAGATTAAAAAAAAAAAAAGTCATGTTTTCCTTCTTAAGGTGAGATCACAAGCAGAATAAAAAATTGTTATGCATATATACTAATACATGTATTAGTACTGAAAAAGCAAAATCAGGCTCGATTGACTGTGAAATTGCCAAATGCCGAAGTCTCTTGTTAATTGGTTTGCCTTAATTCCTTCAGAGAGCTCCGACCAGGAATCAAGTCAATCCAGGTGGTGCTCAGGTAAACAGGCAAGACAGTAGGTCTTCACAGGTGTCTTTTGTGGTATAGCTGGTTAGCTTACATTTAAGAAGTTAATGTGACATTGAAGTTATTATTTATGGAAGCGCATTGCGTTCACAAAAAAACAGACAACTGATATCGTAATTATGGCTCGCTATCTCGAGATTACGAGATCAGGATCTCAATTATGAGAAAAGTTAATCTATAACCTATAGTTGTCAATCAGCACTAACCTAGGTTACAGGATGTAGAAGTCGGTAATGACGGCGCTATCGCAATGAATCGGCTTTTATTTCCTTTTTTGATATGAGACACTAAGAAATATTAATGTTAATGGATGTTCTTGGCAGTATTTCAACACTGCTCAGGCAAATACATTTCAAAATACGGGGGGTAGATAAGCAAACAAATGAACAACTAAGGATAGATAAATAAATAAGTAGCCAGATTTATTTATTTTGATATTGATTAGCTCTGCCTGCCCTGATATTTCACCCAAGCTAAGTTAGCTGGATAATTCATTTCTATCCCACTGGCCGACCATGCTGCTCGGAGAGCAGTTGCACACATCCCTTGAATTGGTTTGTAGGTTGCCAGGTTGCGGTGACAAATGGATTGAAATAGTATGGAGTATGAGGATTGTGTCTCTGTATTGTTTCATACACAATCTGGCAACTTGGGTAACGTCAGATAAACATGCATGACTTATGGATCCGCGTATGCTGATTATTCTTAAGTTTGAGGATCATGCAAATTGTGGGAGTTTATGAGGAGAATAAATAATAATAATAATGATGATGATAATAATGCAATAAAACAGGTGAACACTGGTAGATGGCCTTGACATACAGGAGAAACCCAGAAAAAACGGCAGTGCTGCCAGACCCCTTATCTCTTAATTATGACTTACAATCTTGTTTTTTGTGAATGCAATGGGCTTCCATAATTATCTAATCTAAAAAGGGCTTTTTGTATTTGGAGCTGGATGGTTTGCAGAAAAGTAGCTTGTTACACTTGAAGGGCACAGTTTCTGTGACGTTTGTGATGGCTGTGTGTTTTTCCATTGTCAGTCCCTGTGTTAAATGTTTGCCAATAATTTGAATGCTTGGTTTATGACCTGAAGTGCTGAAAGATTAAAGATCAACGCTGAACTATGTTATGTGGATGGTCACCCTCTGTGCACTGCTGTAAGTGAAATTAAATGAATAGGAAAAATGACATTAGAGTATATCAGATGTGTGAGGGTTGTTGTGTGTTTGTATGTTTGTTTGTTTCAGAATCTGTTACACAGATGCAGTAGGTGTTCAGGAGGACCAGTACCCACCTAACATAGCTGTGAAAGTGAATCAGTCGTACTGTCATGTACCAGTAAGTGGGGAAGAGAAAACCATCAGCGTTCTGCCTGTGATCAGAGTGCTTTAACAGTATTTAGTCCCAGTTCAGATCTTAACTAATTAGGTAATGTGTATGTTTAGCTTGAATGGATCCCATATATTTATTTGGTACCACTTTGCAGTAAGGGTCAATTTTGCCACTTATTAATTTATGTGTTTGTAATTTTCTCACTTAACAATGTCAATTTAAAATGAATTGGACAAATAAGTAGTTATATTAACTTGCTTAATTATAATGAATGTTTTTGTTCGGCTAATGAGAATGTTGTCTTTTTTCCTGTCTAACAGTAACCATAAATTCTGGAATGTTCTGAGCAGAGCTCTGCTTTCATGGCTAGTTTGGTCTTTCCCACAGGGTTACTACCCCTCCAACAAGCCCGGCGTGGAACCCCGGCGGCCGTGTCGCCCCGTCAACATCACGCCCTGGCTACACCTGTCCACCGTCACCAACCACGTCACCATCACATGGGGCAACTTTGGAAAGGTACAGCGTGACGACGTTCACTGTGGATCTCACTGTAGAGGCGAGCCGTGATGCCTTTTAGTTTCTTTGAAGAACGTTTTCATGACTGCATTTGTGGGCCCGTTCAGGGCTGCTGGCCTGTATTAATGACATATCTGCACCCTCTGACCTCTCCCCCGACCCATGCGTGCAGAGGTACTGCGTGGCGCTGTACCTTGTGCGGGTTTTCACTGCAGCAGAGCTTTTCAATCAGTTGGAGACGTGCTCTGTGGAGAGTGCCGACCGGTGCCGAGAGCGCAGTGAGTACACACGCCCCCTTCCAGCCAACCAGAAGTTAATGGATATTATCAGTGTTTACTTGTAGCACGTAAAGATCAAGAATAGACTCTCTCCTGTGCTTTAAGATGATGGTTATGATTATTGTGGTTTAATACAGCGCCCTCCACAATTATTGGCACCCCGTCTAAAGATTTGTAAAAAGGGTTAGTAGAAATCCACCTTTTGGTGAAGTAGATTCATATCACACTGAAAAAACAAGAAAAATCCAAATTTTATTGAGAAAAAAAAACAAATCCTTCATCAAGAAATAATTATTTTCAGCAAAAACACGTGCCACAATTATTGGCATCCCTGCTTTTAATACTTTTTACAACCTTTGCCAATATAACAGCCCTGAGTCTTCTGTCATGGAGTCCATAATGCCATATACCCTAATGAGGATTCCAGGGCCTTTGGAGGAAAAACAGCCCCACAACATCACAGAACCTCCACCATATTTTGCATTTGGGATAAGGTTCATTTCATTATAACCATCCTTCTTTTTACGGCAAACCCACCTTGAATGTTTATTGCCAAAAAGCTCCATTTTTGTTTCATCAGACCATTGAATTTGGTTCCAGTCAAAGTTGTAGTAGTGTTTCGCAAACTCCAGGCGCTTATGTTTGTGGTTAACCCTACCTTCCAAATAATCTGTTAGCATGAAGGGGGGGCCTGGTAGTTTTTTCAGAGACGTGGTAACCTCAAGATTTTACTTGGTCTTGTAATTCACCTTGGGGATTTTTTTCTCCTCTCTTACGATCCTCCTCGCTGTATGTGGGGGAAAAATAAACTTGGGTCCTCTTCCAGGCAGGTTTGTATCTGTGTCGCCTCATGTTCGTATCCCTGTTAACCAGGAAGTCATGGATTACAGCTTGAAGGTTCCTATTCACTCCAATCAACTCAAAGATGTACAATTTACAGGGGAAACATGCTTCAGTTACATTGTGTTCACTATAATTTCCAGGGATGACAATAATCGTGGCACATGTGTTTTTGTTAAATATAATTATTTCTTGATGAAGGATTTTTTTTGGAATAAATTTATGTTAATGAAAGGTTGGATTTTTCTCAATTTTTCAGTGTGACATGAAGCTGCTTCACCAAAAGGTGGATTTTTTCTAACCCTTTAAAAAAAATCTTTACAAGGGGCTCCAATAATTGTGGAGGGCACTGTATATTTATGTTGTAATAGGGCTGGGTGATTTATCGATAAAATATTGTATTGTGATTATGAAGTCGTATAGTCATCACTTTGAATATCATGAGTATTATGATATAACCAAAACACTTGTTTTCTTCCATTCATAGTTAAAATGCACAATTTTTACACAAATTCCATCAAGATATAAGTCTGTTATTGGTGTAATTTATCATTATACCTGTCACAAACTCAAGAGCTATCAGCAAAACAATTTGGTTATCATAATCAGAAAAACTCAAAACTACCTTCATATTTTTCTTCTTTTTATATATGAATTCTAGAATATTGTGAAAATATTTTGATATAATTTGTATGGCATATTGCCCAGCGTTAATCAAGTCTGTTTCCTAAAAACCCAGAGTAAAAACCCAGCAAGGGTCGTGAAAATTGTGAAATGTTGTGGTACATTGTGTGAAGCTGCGGTGATACAGGATCAGAGCAGAAGTGCAACGACATGATGTCATTAAACGAGTGCCAGTCAAACATGAAATGGAAGAAAACAGCATGGATATGGTAATAGAAATATGACCGTACTGTTTCATACGGCTGGTTTCATACAGATGAATGATACTAGCGATTATGCAAAATAATCACGGTCAGCTCAAATAATTGTGACAATAATGTGTAATAATGACTTGAATTATATCGGTAATAATTGTCGATATTGTTTGATATGAAAAAAATTATCAACAATATATTTTGCCATGTTCCCCTGAAGTTGCTACCCCCGCGACCCGGATCTCGGACGAGCGGGTCGTGATGGATGGATGGATGGATGGATGGATATATTTTGCCATTTCGCCCAGCCCTTTGTTGATGTATAGTGTTTGTTGCTTATGTAGGTTGTCACTAGTCATTGTTTTGTTTAGTTTAACTCAAACTGTACTGTCACCATATTGGGGGTCTGGTTTTGTTCAGTTCAGGAGAAACTACGCTTTGACCCAGAGAGTGAGATTGCGACTACCGGCCTGCGAGTGTCACTCATATGCCCGGTGAGTGCCCGCCTTGGGCACGCCATGAGATCTGCTCACCCATCCTTCTTCCGAATGCGCTACCTCGCTGTATGCAGGTGGTCTGTCTCCAGTTAACTGTGCTCCGTGTCCTGCTGTGGGTCCAGAGGGTTCCATGAGTATTTTTCTCTCTCGTCCCCCCTTTGCTGCACAGCTGGTGAAGATGCGACTGGGCGTGCCCTGCCGGGTGCTGACGTGCGCCCACCTGCAGTGCTTCGATGCAGTCTTCTTCCTGCAGATGAACGAAAAGAAACCCACCTGGACTTGTCCTGTGTGTGATAAACCGGCCCCGTTCGAGCTGCTCGCCATTGACGGGTACACCACCTAAGTCCTAATACTAATACTAACTTATGTACTCAGGATTTAGTTTCTCCTGAACCTTTGGTTGCAGGTATTAACCTGTGGATGATTTTTTTTTGTCTGCTAACTAATGATTGGGCAAATTATAGGAAAGGCACTATATAAAATGATGCCTTCTGAAATAATGCTTTGGTTATTTGCTATTTTGTACAAAACAAAGCTTTGTTGTCCTGGGTCACGACTAGATAGTTCTACTAGTGTGTCCAAGCATGTCCCTCCTTCCCATCCACTGTGGTTGGGTCCAGTATGACGCTAACTAACTAAAGGCCCCTCACTTTGGTCTTCACCAGGCTGCTGTCTGAAATTTTGAAGGAAACTGAGGATGTGGAGGAGATTGAGTACTTGGCTGACGGCTCCTGGAGGCCAATCAGAGAGGAGAAGGAGAAAGAGCGTAGTAGCACGCCAGAGTGCCCCCTATTGGATATTTGTAAGAATTGCATAATGGATTATATGTTTGTCATCTGAACAGCACAAATATGTTCTCAAAAAATGTATCACAGTGGTGTTAGATGCGCAGTGATTATGTAATTTTAATGATTATGTAATTTTAATACGGCCCAATATTTCTGCAGGTTCAGTGCCCCTTATGATAAGACTCGTACATGCAAGATTAAATTTGAAGCCTCCATTACTGCCAACATCAAGCATAAAACTCACAATTAGTCTGAACTGCCACTACACGTGATTTCAGTAATATTTTAAAGCACGGTTTCAGTAAGTACCGTAATTTACCCAGGAAGTAATATCCCTGTTAAAATCTGAACATTCTCTCTTTGCCATCCTGATACAAAGTTCGGATGTGTAGATGATTATAAGCTCTTGCTCTGCATCGTTTGTTCATTTTATTTTTCAAACTCCAGAATGCCACAAGCATAGTGCACATTAATTTCTTTTTGTGCTCTTTGTGTTTACATCAGTCATGCTTTTGCTCGCTGTGTCCGATTGCATTAAATAATTAGGTATTCTGGTGATTTCTGAATGCATCACAACACTGTCAGGCGCTGCAGTTGCAGGATTTATAGCGTTTCTTCCCCTCTTTCCACTCCAGGCTCTCCAGAAACGAACGGCCACTCTCCTGCACACGCGAGCAGTACCAGCTCGAGTGGGAAGGCGGGGCCTGCTAACTCTGGCGCGGGCCTGGGGCCGTCAGCGGGAGTGGGGGGTGGAACAGTGGTGGACCTTACTTTGGAGACTTCTTCTGAGGAAGAGGATTCTGGTGGCAGGTTGGGTGACAGTGATGAGACTGATGACAGCCAGGACAGTCCGCCTTCCAAAAAAGGGCGATACGGCTATGACAAAGATCTGGTCACTGCGTACTGACCGCCGTGAGTCACAGACTGAAAGCGACATATGGGACTTGCCACATCAAAAGCAGGACTGGAAGGAACAACTGTCAGGCCCTTCAGCCTCGTACCCCGGCACGCATACACAGGACAGACACACGCCTTCCTCATTCAGACATCCGAAACACTTGCATACACCGAAGCCCTATCAGAAAATACTGCTGCACAACAAAGGAACATTAAAAATGCAGATACCCGAACATCTCTACGTCCTCACCACTGCCAGTGAACTTGGTTAATGGTAGACCCACTGTAATCTCCATGTAACTCACTATCTGTTGCTCGTATTTGTTCCCCTTTTGCCTTTGATTTTTACGTCCGCGACGCTCGATGAGAACGGTCCTGACATTCACCTCCATCGGTAGATTTAAGCGTGGAATTCGGGCCCAGAAAAAACGGTGGAAAAATACAGTACGTCTGTTATAATCTTAAATATGTGCCCCCCCCCTTATTTATTGCAAAAATATAAACATACAAAGCAGTGCTTGTGGTTTCAAGTAAATATTCGTTGATTCTTGTCAAATTTACTTAAGTCCTCCTTGTGTGTCTTGAAGTAATCTACCTACCTCAGTGTGCATGGTGAGTGTAAACCCCAACGAAACACTGCTCAGTGTAATCACTTTTTTTGTATAAACACTGGAGAGAGGAGCCCCCCCCCCCCCCGACACACAAACAGACATTTCCCCCTCCTTTGGTTGATATGTTTTATATATAATATATAAAAATATATTTTCTCATACAGATGGGGGGAACCTTTCTACTAGAAGTGTCCGATCGTTCTTGTTGGGTGGACGTGCTTGTTCGGCATACATGTGCTGTGTAACGCTGCAGCAAGAAATATCTGTTTTGAGCATCTCAGAACTGGTTTGTCCCATGAGTGAAAATTATGTTTTTCTTTGGTTGTTGCAGGTATTTTTTCTCCCGAGTGCAATTTTAGGTGTGGCTGAGAGAGACGCTTACCCTGGTTGGTGTGATCCACAGTGGTTTATGTATGTATGTATGTATGTATGTATGTATGTATGTATGTATGTATGT